CAGAACTCTTAGTAAATATGTAGCATGTGTTCACTGCTTAATGAGCTCAAACTAAATACAATTTAACAAACTTTGTGTGAGGACCAGAATGCACAACCAAGATGTGACCTTCAGATCCAGGGGATCAGTGGGGGTGGGGGGGGGGGGGGGTTGAGCTGATGTCCCTTAGGCTATCTAAGGCCCTTTCCACATCATGGGCTATACTTATCTGGACTGCAACATTTTGACTGGTTCTAACATGCATAATTGCACTATAGTGGGTTTTGCTTCCTTTAACAAGTTCGCTTTTGAATGTTTGGATCAATCAAAATTAATCTGGTTAACTGGCCATGTTGAGTGCAGGGGATGACTCTTTTTTATGTAATAGCCAGGCAAAACTTTAGGATACAATAAAGTGTACTACACAGGGTGGAATTGCCTAAGGTATATATATATATATATATATATATATATATATATATATAATTGCACTATATTATTACCAATTTTCATCCTAATGTCAACTTTGTCCCAATTATCTTTGCTACATTTGTATAGTGTTTGGTCCAGAAACAGAATCTTGAGTGTTGGTCCTGTAGTAATGGTACATATTTAAAAATGCGTTTAAAGTCAATTTTTCTCCACAAAACTCAACTGCTGAACAAGAGATTATGACTTGACATGTTCACTTTTTTTTAAATTTTGTATAAGAAACTAATAGAAGTGGTTTATTTGCATTACTGGAAGTCCATGCTCACTTTATATGTAACTTTTAATTTTTACAGCTTTAAGCTCCATCCTGTGTATACAGGTATTTGTAAGGTCATGGACATTGCTAGGTAAATGACCTATCTGAACCAAAATAACAGTTTAGTGAAAATGACTGAAGGAATATATATATATGTGCTGAGAATTAACCCCCAATCCTTGCATGGACAGGATAAATAATTTGATGGACATTCCATCATTTTTTGGATAAATACATTTAACACGTAGTGGTAACCAGAAACTAAAAATATGGAAGAACATGCCAAATATAATCTATGTTGAGAGTATTGAGATGGCAGGTGTGAGAGAAAGAGAGATACATAAGTTACACTCAAATATGCATGTTGAACACAGCTTGATGTGGTACATTTTAGGTGAGGTAGCCACTGAGACATTATTAGCTGGTTGGGAGCAGAGATTCTTTAGGTGCAGGGGGGGGGGATACTTTGATGGTAAGGTACTACATATACCTTTCCCCTTGTATGTTTGGTTAAAAGGTAATTGGGGGGAGGGGGAAGTCTTGTCTTCATACTATGTATTTCAGTTACAATATGTGTCACAATATTTGCTTGAACTTTCATATTTTAGGAGAATTTTAAGTGGCACATTTATCCTGATAACAGCACGTAAACGTCCCTTTAGATCTGAAAGATGAATAACATGTATTTAATAGGTTTACTTTGTGAGGCATTTGATTGCGTTAAAACTGATCAACTTGCATGCTTCTTGTTCATGTACATTTAATAACTATATGTATAATATATAAAGAACTCATGTTTTTGCATATATATGACTTCTCAATTAGTTCATGACAAAAATGCTTGTTGACTAGCAAGATATTGTATGTCTAGGTAGATGGATTGCATGTTTCTCTGAAATTGGGAGAGAGAGACAGATATATCATTTCCATCACTGCAGATTAGATATCTAGGAGCCATTTTTTTTTCTTGGAAACCAGCCCTCTTATTATTTAGCATGGACTAAAATTTCTTTCTTTTGTTGTTAAATGTCATCAGATTCAGTAAAGCAAACAAACAAAGGTTCCACAAGGTACAGTTTCCTAACAAAACAAAAAGCAAGTGTCAGTTTCTGTAAAATGTAATGTGACAAGTAGTTTTTTGTAGTTAGTCATTCAGAAACTGGGATTAGTACAAAATCAAGATCTGCAGCACTCATTATACATTGTCTAGATAACCGTGTTTGATATTCCAGCATATTAGACAAAAATTCTGAAATAGATAAAAGTTAATTTTACTTCCTTATGGCTACCCTTTGGGTGTTCTATCCAATTAGGCAGACAGCAGATGAAGCTTTCATTAACAGAATGAATTGGTCAGTACATATCTAAAAGGCTGTGACATTTGGTTGAGCACAGCAATTAAAACAGAGTATGTACATTAACAAAATAAGCAAGTCTTTTACAGTAACAAGCACTGGCAAATTTAATTTTCTTGTATATTTGCTTGCTGTCAAAGCCCAATTGATAGACTAGTACTTTATCTGCCAGCTTCTGCTACTGATATTTCCTTTGTAGAATCAGCTTTGTTTGATCGATACTGAAATGTCATTCAAAGCATTGATGTTCAGTGCGTTTACTCCTTGCTTCACTGATGATGATGTGGTGTGATAATAAGCATGCATATAAAGATTCAAGATGCTAGTTTGGAATTTAACAGTTTTTTTTTTGTTTAATTCCATGGTACAGAGCAATGCCCTGATAGTTTTCTCTTAATCAGACATTGAAAATTGTATAGGATTATGTATGATCACTCAGACTTCAAATGTAAACTAACCATAATTTTTTGTTGATTTTATGGATGTTCATTTCGTGTAGGTAAGAAGGCGTAGGCATAATACAAGCATTGATATTAAATTATTTACCTGTATTTGTCTCAAACTGTACACGTAAACATGTATAAACACCATGTCTGTCAAACTGAGTAAAACCACATCAGGATGGATTTTCAGATACGCAGGCTGTTAATTGAAAAAAAATTCATGAGCTAGGTTACAGTAGAGATGTGGCACATAGTAATACATATATCTTGTCCAGTTTATGATTGATCTGTGAGAAAAACTGAAGTGCGTCGATCCCTTCTCCCCCCCCCCCCTCTCTCTCTCTCTCTCTTAATTGGAGATTAAGATTGTGGATAATACACTGCTTCATTTGAATTTGTATCGGCTAATAAGACATCCAATTAAGGAATGCATGGCATATAGACCTATGGCATTAAGATCATTATGCTCTTGTTGTATTATGATAATGTTTTTAGCCAGCGTAAGGAAAACATTGGACATAAATGTTTGAATTTCAGCAGGTCTGTAGGGAGGGGATGTTATAAAGCACCACTCTTTTGGTTAAAAAGGCCTGTTCTCAATTCATAGTAAAAACTTTAAAGATTTAGTTTCTGTGTCTTTTTGCAAGTTTTATATTTATTAAAAAGGTTCACATTATCCCCCAAAAAAACTCTTCAGAATTGATTCCTGCAGGTCTGTTATGAAGTAGTGTTTTCTCTGTCTCTATACCCATACTACCCATACTTTCTTCCCTTTTAAGTAATCATTTTTTTCTTTTAAGTAACCTCTCTTCACCCCACCTTTCCACCTCCTCCCTGTCACCGTTACCCATTTGTGATCATGTCAAGAGATGTTGAGCAATGAAATCGTGGGATAAAGTCAATACTGAGAATGGCAGACATACACATGTATCTCTCAATTTGTTCTAGGTGTAGAACAACGGGCCCTCTCTAGCAGCGGGCGAAGTACAGCTGTTTTTAGACTAATTGCAGGAAGAACATTGTTTGATTACAATTAAACATCTAACCCATACTGGGAACCTGTAATTTCCACTTCAGTATTCCATAGCCTGTGGGTGCAAATAAACTGTCTACTTTCAATAGTTATTAGTTTTAATACAGTATTTTGTAAACGTGTAGCTGGATGGGGATTCAGCAGTCACATTTTCTTCGGAATTGCTTGCCTTCGCTGTTAGTTAATGCACCCAGTCTGTGGAAGATTGGATTTCCTCTTGACGCAAATGATTGGGATTACGACTATTTTCTTCTCATACCTGTGGTTCACATTTGTACTTCAGAATGGAGGCTCTAGGAGTTCACATGCTACCATGTTTAATTTTATACAATGCCCAAGTAAAGCTAAGGATGATTTAGTGAAAAAATGTCGTTGACTTAGTTCTGGAAGATGATTTGGCTTACACCAAAACAAAACTGCTGTAAGCCTCTAGAGGAGTTCAAGGTCTCTTGTATTGTTTTATATGGAATTCATCATTCTATGTACCCCCCTCCCTGAATTATTGCTCATCCATTCTTGTGTCAAGTTTGAAAACTGAGGTATGTCATTCTGGTCAAATCATCAAGAATAAATCTGAGTTTGGTAACAGCTCTCCCATTAGGAATATCTTGCCCCTTGCAGACTCCTTAAGTACACCTGTGATGTAGAAGATAGGTATTGATATATTATGTGCGTCTGTGAAGTTCCTGCTCATGTACATTTTCTTTAGTTATGTATGAAGTCCAGCAGTTGCTGAAAGCTATCCATTTTAGTGTTATGTGCTGATTGTATCTAGGGGGTAGAAAATACCATCCAGGTTTTCTGGAACAAGAAATGTCTTTATCAGTGTTTTTTTCTATTCTTTATAAGTCTTGAAATACATACAACAAAATTATTTCAATGAATATGACTTTAATTAATTAATTCATCAATTTATTATTTTGGCATTGGAAATTTATCTCTTATCCATTAATAGTCCTAAATCGGCACCTCATAGAACCTCTGCTATTGCGTTCTGTTAAAAATAACCTGAAAATTTATGTATTCTGAGTTATTTGACAGCAGTGTATATGTAATTGACTGTTTTTACTTAGCCGAGTTTCTGTAATGACCTAGAATTCCGCTTATTCATCACAAACCCATCAAGGAATTTGCATCTTCAGAATGTTTTCATCATTTCCTATAATGTGAATTTTGTTTGAGTAATGAATTGGCTATTTCATTTCCTGTGTATTTTTACCTAAGAATTGCCTCAAAGGTTTCTTTTGCCACTAATTAGATGGGTTGTAATTGGACTCTACATACCTGGATAGTTTTTTATTTAAAATCTTTCTTAAGATACTCAAGTACTAGCCAGATGTGTGTGTGCGCACATGTGCATGTGTGTGTGTATGTTTATAGGCTATATATAATATTAATAAAGAAAAAAGTGATTAATTTAATTTTGTCATTTTAAATTTCAGGAAATTTATCAGCGTTCCAATTATTGATGGAGAAGAATATGAGAAAAATGTGTTTTTTAGCCTGGTGCTGGAAGAACCTCAAGTGGTCAGAAGAGGATCAGGTGAGCCAATCTGATTTCTTCTTACAAGTTTTCAATTAACTCTAGAATAAAATGTAATTTTGAGCCTTCTCAAATTATTTCTCAATTCAAGCTCCTTTTCAAAGTGGTAATGCTAATAAATGAAGTTTATAATTGAGCTGAATCATTTCAAGAGGATACATTATACCAAAAATAAGTTCTTGGTGAGGGGCCCCAGGGGCAACTTTTTTTTTTCTTTACCCTAGACTAATTCCGCGCCCTTTTGAACATATTGTCAGACCATTAATGCAATCTTCAATCTCTTTTAATTAGAGAAAATGACTTTGCTCACACAGTATTTTATGTTGAACTTAAGCTGTAAAAGGACAATTGATTGTCTAATTTAATCCAACTTGTTGGCCAAGCTTCAAGAATTTCCTTCCACATTGTGGTTTGCTATCACAAATCAATCTGAGATCTTGGCAAGATGTACCAAGAAAAACAATAGCTGGGACTTGCTGCACCATCAATGCCCACTTGTTAAGGATGATGAAATTGCCACCTTGGGACCAATAATGCTGATGGAAATGATATACAACCACTTTGTTACAATAGCATGTCTCTCTTTTGTAAACCACAAGTCCATAACACGTTGAACTGAGTATTTTCTTCTTTTTTATGGACAGGCACTCTGTCTGGACATACAGCTATCACCTGTGACTGTTGTCACATTAAGCATTGCTGCTGCAGTGCACTTTTTGCTGGTAAACACCATAAAAGGAAAATCATGATACTTTTTATTCTCAAATGTACAGAGATGATTCATTGGAGTAAAATACATGCTGGCTACCAAAACTAGCCTGATTTGTGTATTTTTTAAAAGTTTACGAAGTCTTTTGTTGATTTTTTTTCACAAGTTAGCATTTTCAAAGTGTGACTTGGAATTTACATGGGTATGAAGCCTTATACCTAGGTAGTTACATTTTCTACGGTAGTTACATTTTTTTAATTTCCACAGTAACAGTAGTACACAATTAAAATTATGTAATATTGCATAAAAACATTTTGTGTACTTTTGTGGTAATAAATAAAAATAAGGATTGCTCATTTTTTGAGACTGTTTTAATATCACTACTTCTATCAGTTTTATCATTTATTTGTCTGTCCATTTGACAGCATTGCTGTCTTGTTCATATTCAGCATGACTCCTAAACTTTTTGTCATTTCTCATTGAATTGGATGCTTTTAAGACAGTCCTTTTCTCCTACCAGTCCTTGAAATTAAGATGGTGAATAACTTTTCCTCTATTAAAAGATTTACTCTTAGCTATGTAATTTGATCAAAAATGAATCAATATAACTTAATATTATTTGCATGTATGAATATTCCAGCATTTATAGAATTCTGACAATCTTTTTATCCCTTCTCTAGTGACCAGCATCTCTTGGTGATTTAAAAATACTGCGAAGGATCCTAAAACTGACAGTTTCATTGGAGGCATTTGTTCACACCTGTTCATGGAAAATGATTTCCGATTTTTATAATTGGCTAAATAAACTCTTATCTTACATATTTAGACTGACAGCATTATACAAGAACCCCCACCCCCCCTTTCACCCTATCCCTTTCCTCAAATTTTTATTGTAGCTCACATGTATAGCAGACCTGTTTATCTATTGATGCCTTATTTTCAGTCTTTTGTTAACTGTAGTTTGAACAGAGTTACCCTGTTGGTTTTATGAGATTCATCATTGATTATTTTTCTTAAGCTGGGATTGCCATGCAGAAAGAATTAAGCTGACTTTCCTATGTGTAGTGCTCTATTATGCCAGTGACCCTGTGGTGTTTTTGGTTCCAAGAATTTTTGTTAGAACACATATTCATGTACATCTTCGATGTGTATATTTGTTATTTCTTTCTTTAGGGAGTTCACTTGGAAATCAGATTTATCCATCTCTTTGACATTTATCTCATGGGAATTTCATTTTGAAACCATGTCTTTTAAAGTGTATTTTGACTCGATTTACCTTGGCTGTATAGTATCTTAATGGATGCTGCCTTACTATTTTGACTTACATTTACGTACCTGATTTTGCAGGAAAATATGAATTGGAAGCTCTGGTATTAATTCTCATTACTCAAAACTCTTTCAAAAATCCCATTTGTTTCTGTTTTTCTTTTTTTTTTCACCATTTATCTAGAACATTAATCACTGTTATGTTGCAGACATGCCTTTCCATTATACTTATTCCAGCTAATGCCAGGTTATTTCTTGGTCTATATGCAGAGGCGAAGTGTTTCTGAGATCCACATATTTGTACAATATACCTGAGATTCTAGGTCTGTTTGTATAGATTTGAAAGCTACAGACCAATGAAGAGTATTTTAATACAAAAATAGCTTCTTTTCACTGTTTTATAAAATTTACATTTGTGTATGTGTATGCACATCCTTGTATTTTGTATGTTTGGGTTGTATACGTATGTGTGTGTGCATGCATGCATGCGTGCGTGCATGCGTGTGTGTGTGTAAAGGAGAGTGATGGGATAAAATAAGGAGGGAGAAAGGTTTCAAGGGTAATGGAACTAATGAGAGAGATGAAGTGATATAAGATGTTATTTACCCATCTGTATATGTTCAACTGAATATAGAGACCATTAAAGGTACTTGCTTCTGGTGATAGAATATCATATAGAAGGGTAAATACCAGCCAGGTGCAGCAAGACTGATTGAAAATAACTGTAATTGCATTGAAAATACCTTATGTTTTCATTTTGAGAGTGCTAGGGGGTTGTATGGTATCTCACCTATGCCAGAAATTGAAATTAAGATTCTATGCGATTAGGCTCAAGGTAGTTGTAATGGGCTGGTTTTCTAGCTGTGGCTACCTGCTGGTCAGCTAGCATCTTCTGACCAGAGGAATATTGACGCTAAGGAGGAACAGCATGATCATATTACCTTTAACTTAATGTAAGGTTCATGGACACAAAAAATGCCTCCGCCATTAGGAATTTATACTATTGATATATACAGGATAAAAGAAGCGTTTCTTATTTGCACATGAATTGCCTCTCTCGTTTTTACTTTCCATATGAGTCACTTCTGTAACTTAAGTTCTTTTTAGCCCTTTTTGTCACTTACAGTGTATCCTCCATTTGAAGTTAAAAAATATACTGAAAAAACATTTCTATTATTTTTTAAAGCTGTTTTTATTTTTGTTCATTCAAGTTTAGTTTTTTTCTTAAATATTTCTGCCTAAAGCTAGAACAAGCCAAATTGCTTTGAAACAGAATTTGTAGCAGGTATTTGTTGATCTCTTGGGTCGACTAATTCAAGTCTGACTGAAAGACACCTGTCTAAGCAGCCAACGTGATGGCACCAATCCAGGAAATAACACCCAGTTTGGAGAGTCCAATGAGTCCCAGCAATGCCATTTCCATTGTTCGTTAAGCTTAGAATGAAAAAATCAATTTACTGAGATACTAATTTCTTTTTTTATAGGTTATGTCCATTACTTTTGCCATTTAGTGTTGTTAATGTTAAAATGGTGACGAATTGTGAAACATGGTGTGCTATTTCAGCACCACTTATAGTGATGATGTGATAGGAACTTTGGTGAGTTCTCAATTGCCACTGTAGTGAAAATCATTTGTTGGTCCATTTACTATAAATATATTTTTGTGTTTTATTTTTTTGAAGTAAGTATCTTGTTAAGGATATATTTAGGTGGTGAAAGTGAGATAGGCTGTAGCAATTCCTGTAAGCTGTTCTGCACAGAGAATAATGGAATGCTTTTGTGCAGCAATTTCTGTGAAGATTTGGTGCCAGGGAATGATTTTAGGGTATTCTTTTCTAACATCAGTCTAATCTGCTCTTTGCAGCTGCTTCAAGATATACAATGTCATCACAGAGAATTGTGGTACATGCTGTCAATTCAGTTCAATTCCTTATTAGAAGAGACCTTTGAGAACAAGAGAGTTAAATGCATTCAGGAACAAGAAAATCTTCTCCTTTATTTTTCTTTTATAAAACTTGATATCAACAATTACATTTGCTGCCTTAAGTATTTAGTTGTGGTATTCAAGGTGTTACTCTTAATCTCTAAATCTGAAAAAGGCAATTTTGAACTTTAAGTATGATTGGCCTGGTATTTAAATACAGGTCCTTGTGGAGCTTTTTGAAGGTACTTTGTCTGTCAGGGAAGCCATACACAACTAGATGCACATCCATTTTTTTGATGAAAATATTAAGTATTTTTCACTCAAATACCTTATGAGTCTGGTCATTTCTAACCCCACTTTTTCAGAATTGCCAGTCATTGTGTCAAGTCATTCACTAGACAAGTTTTATTTCTGAGATTTTTTGTGCTTATTCTTTCTAGATTGAAAATGTTTTTTATTTATTTATTTTATTTCATTTTTTAGAATATAGTTGCAGATCCAGACATTTAAGATATTCACTGTAGTTATCAACTCTGACACTCTTCCAATAACAATGGAAATCATCTGAGATGGCTTAAAATGAGGCTGTAGGCACCAAATGGTCAGAAAAATGGGTGTGCATCTATATCCCAAGAGTTGGCTTTTTGTAGGGTCATCTATTAGGAAGGTCCGCTATTCTGAGGGTCCAATATTCTGAGGGTCCACTATTCTTAATGTAAAGATAGAGCACAAACAGCTGAAAGATAGCAAATTCAATGCATTTCTTTGACATGGAGGTTAGTACCCTGATTAACTAATATAATTCCTTTAAGCACAGATATTGCATCAATAACCTTTTTTTTGGAATAGTGGACCTTGGGAATAGTGGACATTCAGAATTGTGGACCCTCTACCCCATGGAATACCCTCAGAACAGTGCTCGATTTCTGATCAAAGCTACTTTAGTCTTTAAAATTGCAGACTCTCTGAACAGCGGAATATAGGAATGCCTCCCCAGAAAACGTGAGAATCTGTGTGAGGGGAGGCTTATCTTTTAGCAATAAGAGTGAAACTATGCATGGAGATTGCTAAGAGAGCTATACTTATATAACACAGAAATGA